CGTATGAACAGTTTCGCACATAGCGGTGTAGAAACGTTATTTTCTGAACAGTTTACAATTTAGACCTATTTCAGCAAAGCGATATTTAAGTCAATCTGAGAGACAAAATAAGTATTTTTATTGTGAAACTTTGAATATTAAAAGTGGAAACTATATCATCAAAATATACTCATTTTTAACACCTTGTACAACAATTTCATAAGTTATTTCAATAGTACAGTAATAGCAGGTGACGGGCAAATATCTGAAATATATAGGAAATATTATGCAAGAAACTAGTATAATTTTTGGATCTAAACCGTACAGAAATAAGGTTCGTTTAGTAATAGAAAAAGCATCGGAACACGTACGGGGTTATCTGTTTTGTTCGAGGGGACATAGCCCCTGAGTATAAATCAGATTGCCGAGTGTTTTGATGTTCTTTCACTTTTGTATCATGGGTAGAAATAAAATCACGTTCCCTGTTGTCACAATATGAAACCCAAGAAAAAAGTCACCAGTGAAGGTTTACATATATACTAAACATGTTATGCTAAAATCATAATTCATTATAAGCGCTTTCCGCGCCATAGGTAGCATAACTACAAATAATGCGGGGGCGTCCGTGGCCGAGTGGTTAAGGTCGTTGACTTCAAACCACTTGCCCCTCACGGCTGTGGGTTCGAATCCTGACAGGGACTTTGGATTATTTCATGTGAGGAAGCTATCCTGCTAGCTTACGGAACGTCGGTGGTTCTACTCAGGTGCCCGTTCGTGCCTGAAATAATGCACGGAAGGGCACCTGAGGTCTTCCTCCACCAGTAAAGCTGCCAGAACGTCGCGATATGACCTATGACCTCAATGTGATGTGACATAAAACCCAAACAAACAAAAACAGACAAAGTAAATAATGCGAGATCCTCGATCCAATTTTCATTTTCACCATTTGTAAATGTTTAGTGCAAGATATCTCAAAACATAATGACAAACGAATTCATCTTACTGGTTCCGAGACTCAACACGTTCTTCATAACGTTTTTCTATATGAATTAAAACCAAACATTTTCAAGTAAAATGTTACGACACATACAGTACCTTTACTACTTTGACAGTACGCCAGCTTGGCAGTTTCACCATACAGCTTGCAACACAGTGAGTAAGTAAACACTGATACAGGAAATAAGTTGAAAAGTAAGAAACACCTTAGAGTACTACTGTTTACTGTCAACAGAGAGTACTTCCGTTACTATTTAAAGCAACGGAAAAACCGCTTTCTTAAGAATTTTCATAAGTTAAATATTTATTACTTAATCTTAAGAATAATCTCAGCTAAGTTTTTCTTTAGTCATTTTCAGAATACGACTTAATCTTAAGATAAAAAATTTTCTAAGCTAAGATTTTTTTGGAAAAGTTGTTCCGGTTAGGTGGTTTCCTGTTGCATGATGCTGCAATCGTGACAATTCGGGCGATTCCGTCATACTGCGGAATCAGACGAAGTAATATTACGGAAATCTAAGCTATTTTTTTTTACTTCGGTAAATATAAATAGGATTTCTAACATTCACGATATTTAATTAACATTAGTGTTAGTCTCGTTTCAGTGCCTTTTAGAATTCTACCGAAATGTTGTTTGACTTGGACAAGATTAATATTGAATTACTGCCAAATACAGCTAGAGTGTCATTCCTATGTTTGTCTTTGTTTAGAGAATAATTAATTTACTATAACCTCCTTTGCATAAGAAATGTGATCAAGAAGACGAGAAAAATATCAATTATCAATATATTTTTCTCGTCTTCTTAACAGACCATTCACGCCACCCAGACGCCTCTTGTTTTAGCTTTAAGAAAGTATTTACGTAATCGGTGAATATTAAACCACCAGTCTCACTTATTATTATTATATTTAAGTGCATCATACTGATAACTTCGATTAAAATTCCACCTCGAACATTGCTTCAATTTGATAACCTTTTTGTACAGTTTTTTTTTTTTTTTTTTTTGGACCTCATCTGTCACCCAAGTCCCATTGATAGAAGTGAACCTCCAGCAAAAAGGGCAAAAAAGGAACGCAGCAAGAAAATATTGAGGAAAACGAAGGCTATTTGCATCTTTGGAGCGTCTCAAAAGCAGTCTATTGGTAATTTAACAAATTGTATGAGGAATATATTGGTAACGGAGATGACACAGACGACACTACGGAATTCGCAGATGAACGTACACAGCCATTCAAAGAGAGGCAGTTTTCGACAAATATCAAGCATTGCTTGAATTTTATTGGATGCCTTTAATAGCCAATGCGACTCACCAACTAATAATCTGCGCAATAAACGAATAATTTTGCCAAATGCAGTGAAACGGGTTTTGAAGAAAAATAAAAAGGACTTATTTGAAACGGAGAACTCAAAGGAAGAATTAAAGTGATGATGATTATGATGATGTTGTTGTAGATGATGACAGTGATAATGATGAATAAATTCACATTCAATTGAATTGTCAATCATTGATCACATTTACATAGCGTAGTCAACATGGCAGCGTGGGAGGAATATTTAAAGATAATATACTGCGACCTTCCGATAGGAGGTAGTTTCTTTGGTCCTCGGAAATTATATAATGTGGTGAAAAGTCAAGGACAATTTAACATAAGATAAAATAAGAAAGTTCTTTCATACCCTATTGTTGTGTATACATTTAAGATGGTATTTTTAGTTTCTTGTATTTGGCCTTTTCCAACTTTGGTGGTTCCAGTATTCGTACTTGAGTACTGTATACTCACCCTTAGGATATGTTGCCTACTTTTTAAATTTGTCTTTTGACGTCTTGTCTTCATAATCTCAGATCCCCTTTCAAAATTCCATTTTATTTAGTTCCGCCCATTGTTTTCTCGTTTAGGTCACAAACATTCTTTTACTTAGGGACCATACGCCGCTTTTCATGGAATGACACTACTGTGTCACATTGAAGGTTCCATGATAACCACCGTATGAACACATCTGCGGGTGTTTCTCAATTCAAAATTTCACAATTTTTGTGTTTAAATGTTGAATTTTTCTTGAGTCAGTGCTAGAGGGCGTTGACGGTAACTTGCACTTTCCAGTACCATCCATGAACAGGCTTAATCAAACCGAGCCTGTATTATTTTACAATTTTGCCATGTTGGGCTTCTGTTTACTTTTTTTACAGTCTACATAAGCCTATCAGAAGACGATTTCAGATGAATCACGTTGACCGTTGCAGGATAGATAATTTGTGGATTTGACAAGATTCAAGAAGTGGAATTCAGGATACAAGTACATCTTGCTTGTGATAGATACATTCTCCAAGTTCGTGTGGTTGCGCCCCTTATAAACCAAAGCCTCCAAAGTCAGGACGATTTCTACAAAAACTGATGACTGATAAAGGTAGAGTTTTGAAATGTAATCTTATTTTAAACATGTTCTTGGTCAACATTAAAAATTCAAACTAAAAACGCTATTTATTATTATGAATAAACTACTGATATACAGTTCTATGTAGTGTATTTACATTTGGCCAATTTGTCATATATTACAAGATCCGGACTTAAAAAGTTAAGTCAATGATTCAGGAAAACGGAGTTCGTTTCTTTCCTACACATAATGAAACTAAGACATCTACATCTGAGAGGGCAATGTTAAGTATAAAACGGAAACTCTATCGTTATTTTACCTTCAAAAATTACTACAATTATTTACCAATCCTTCTGGCTACAACAGGACATATCACCGAACGAGTGGAACAACGCCTGTTAGTGTTGACTCAGGAAACGAGGAAGAAGTTCGGCTATCTACTTATTTTGCTCAAAACAAACAGATTGTAAAATATTACATGAAAACACTACAACTCTATAATATCAGATTGGTGATTATGTGAGAATAAGTCATCTATCTACTATGTTTACTCGAGCTTATGTTAAGACCTACACTGGTGAGGTGTTAAAAATTTATAAACGGTATCATCGTGGAAGGCTGTCAATTTATCGACTTACAAACGTCATCACCGGAACCTTCTACGGGCGCGAGCTTCAGAATGAAAAATGTGCAAGTGCAAGCTTCAAAATTGAGAAAATTTTAAAAAAACAAAGGAAAGGTACGCATGAAACAAAACCAAGTAAAATGGACTAGTTACCTGTCACATTTTTATTCATGTGAATAAGTATTATGTAAATACATTCAATAGTTATGAAGATTGATGCACTAAAAAACTGAACCAAGAGTTTCTAAGTTTTTAAGGGGCCACAATTCTGTCAAAATCCATGTGACACCTTGGACAATGACCTGCAATTATGATCCCGCAGACATGCACTAAGTTTTAAGAGAATACCTTTAGTGGTTTTAAAGATAAAGTCATGTTGCACACACTTTTTAACCAAAAAATTTCATGTTCAAAAAGGGCCACAAATCAATCAAAATCCATGCAAGAGTTATGGGCCTTGGAAAGTGTCCTATTATGCTTTCAAATAAGTGTGTGAATTTACAAGCAAATATCATTTAGTAGATGATAAATGATCAAACTGATGCCAATGATCAGGTTAGTAGGATAGCTTTATTGTTCTAAAATAGTCAAGCTAAAAATAACTTTGACCTTAAAAACTGTAACCGTCAAGAGCAAATTATCAAATTTAGTTGTTGATTTTTTTAGGAATTGATTCATAATTTGTCAAAATAGCACTAATTGTGACAGACACCGAGATGTTGAATATTTAAGTTAGACCTTGACGGTACAGGTCAAGTTACTGAATTTTGGTCAAAGTGACATAACTTTATTAATGGGCAGATTTAATTCCTACTGTGAAAAATAAACACTAATCTGCAGGTAATTCAAGTACAACTTTAATTGGTAAATGACATTAACTGTCAAAGTCAGTTATGAAATTTTAATTCAATTCTGTTCACAAATATTTGAAAAAAAAACAACCTTTAATTCTGATGTTTTTGTCGTTGATCAAGAGATGGCACTTGGGGATATATCTGCAACCAAAAGGAAACAGAAAATCATAAAGATATTTCAAAAACCTTTTTATTTCAAAACCTCATTTCCTTGATTCAAAACACTTCATTACAAATCAAAAACAGCAACAATTTATCCATATCATGATGTTTGACAAAAAATTATTGATGTACATGCCTTGATGATAACAACTAATTATCAAATTATCTGTATTTTTCTCGCTTGGCTAGCATCTTATTACAAATCTATCCACTTTTAAAGTGCTTAAAGATACATGCATGCATTGATAATGGAGATTGGTTCTTTCCCATCTCACTTTGAAAATGCTAACATCATGGCTTAACAATGAGGGAAGGCTATTTTAAATTTTTTAAAACCTAGGCAATCTTGACCTAATGGCATTTATACCAAACCAGTGAAAAAGACCACTGCATGCAGTGATTATGCTGGTCTCGTACAACTTTTGACAAAACTTGACCTAATGGCATTTATACCAAACCAGTGAAAAAGACCACTGCATGCAGTGATTATGCTGGTCTCGTACAACTTTTGACAAAACTCTATGTAAAAAAGGGACAAAACTCTAAAAATATAGCTTCAAGAATTACACCCCTTTTCTTACAACTGCCTCTTTTCATGATAAGCAAGTACTCAAGGGATTAATATTGCTACCTTTATTATTAATATAATTGTTTGAGAAATGGGCAATAGTAAAGTCTTTGAACAACAACAACAACAATGAAGCCATCACAGTGATCATGACAGCTAAAATTTTTCTTCAAAACATGCAAGCTAAGTTTATACAGAATTTATTTTACCTATTGTTGGAAGCTGTAAGACCAAAAACTACTATGACAGTGATAATATGATCAGATGTCAGTTAATAAATGAAAATGGTATAGGGAATGATAAGAGTGGTTATAGCCTAATGATATAACAACGTACAGATAACTATAAACTCCATGATATGTTATATTACAAGAAAAATGTTTCTTTTATTTCTATGTAAATACATAATCAGACAAGCCACACAAACACGAACATTTAGTAATTAAATTTAATTGCAAACGTTTCGGCTATATGCCTTCATCAGTGCAAAACATAATAAAATTACCGGAAGCAACGTCATAACGGAACACGCATTAAACGCGCGAAAAACGTTATGGCGTTTAGCGGCAAAACTATGATAACATGTAGAAACAAATATTTATGCTATAAATAAAGCTGGTACATGAATTAAAATGGATCAACAGTGATACAGATGTCTATTAGACAGTGTTAATAAAAATAAGATAATAGACAAACATATTAATTTCCTATGACGCTACTTTTAAGCAGTCTTTAGATACGTTAAATAGATATTTTTCTGATAGAAATTATCCTAAATCTATTATTGAGAAAGCGTTTACTAAAATTGAAGGCATGTCCCAAAATGATGCTCTAAGTCCTGTTGTTAAAAATACTAGTTCAATAAAACCTTTTACTGTCTGTTTTAATACATCTCTGCCTAATATTGGTGAAATCTTAAATAAATATTGGGATCTATTACTTTTGTCTGATAAGGTAAGCGTTAAAAATATACATACCAAGTTCAAACCTATTTTAGCATATAGACGTCCTAAAAACATTCGAGATTATCTTATGAGAAGTGCTTTACTTGATCGCACATTTTCATCTAGCCAGTGTTTACGAAGTAGATGTTCACATTGTAACAATATAATTGTTGGTTCCCAATTTAATAGCAGCATAACAGGTAGTTCTTTTGATTTACACAATGATGTTAACTGTACTACGCGTAATGTAATTTACCTCATTACATGTAAAGGCTGTAAAAAGCAATACGTAGGTCAGACTAATCAAAATGTATCATGCAGAATGAATAAACATAGATTTGATATAAGAAATTGTGACGTTAATCCAGTTTCACATGTTGCGTTCCATTTCGGATCAAACGATAATAAGTGCTCATTGTCAGATTTTTCACTTTTACCTATAGAAATTATAGAAAACAACATGGACCGGTTATGTAAAGAATCTTTCTGGATCCATAAATTAAATACTATGATTCCAAATGGACTAAATAATAAAGTATTTTTCGATTTATAATAGGTTACATGAATATTAATATGTTTGTCTATTATCTTATTTTTATGTAAATACATGTAATACAAATGGCATAAACTGCAAATTAGTGTGACTTTCATGTTCAGTAAAAAAATAAAAATAAAATTTTTTAGAAAACTAAAAGCCCATCATTCATTACATAATAACATATTCACCATTTTTGGGCATATTGTTTTAGTGTTGTTTTTTTTTCACCAATTGTTCTCTGCTTTCTCTGTATTTTCTTTACAAGGAAGACATATCACAGTCTGATGATATACACATATACACAGAGGTCTACTTTCATGGCTTTTTACTCTCTAAGTAATCTTTGGCTTCATTTATTTTTGTTGCGATTAGTGGCGAACCACCTGAAATAGAAGACAACATGATCATGATCTTTTCTATTTATAAAATAATCATCCTAATTTCCAAACTGAGTTTTGCCAACCAACTCAATATCTTTCTTGAAATCAGTATGTAAAGCACTAACTGGCAAAATTTAACACCACAACTTTTTAAAAAAAGTACAATCAAGTTGTTTGTATATTTGGAGTATTTTATCAAAACAAACTTTGTTTATAGTATGCTCATGAATAATATAATTGAAAAGAGATCTGCTGCTAGGAAAATGGACAAAGATGCTCCTACATTCCACTACGACAGACAGCAAGGCATCAATGAGCAGGACAGACATTTCTACAAATGGACATTAAATTAGAGCTGTCATTGATATCGACAATATCGATGTATCATTGATATTTTTTTGCCGATCAATAATCGATACACATTCTAAAAAATCGATACTTTTGACTAATAAATTAAATGTCTAGAAATTCTAAAATTCACCCAAAATATATACAGAAGCAGTTATTTATATCTAATGTTATGCTTTTGTTATATAGTTGAATTATTTCATAGCAATGGTGACAAAAAATATTTTCTAGAAAAAATCATGCAGTGGACAAGACACTGTACAGAACATGTTTTTGACTGAAATCATTGAAACAGGTATGAAAGTGAATGACAGACAAGTGAGTATAGGATATTATCGATATATCGGTGTATCGTAGATTTTAGTCACTTGATATCGATATATTGTTGATATGCTTTGCACTGAATCAATGACAGCTCTACATTAAATGTGTACCTCCTTTGTTAAAATTTATCCATTAAGGATATATGAAGTACAAAACAATAATTATGCACTTATGGTATGAACACAATTTATTGTAAGGTACCCAGAACATGTCCTCTTGTTTGCTCAATTTGACGGACGGATAGAAAAGGGCTAGTAAGTAGCAGAGAATAAAAATGTAAGATTTTGAATAACGGATATTTCCGAATAAGACTTTCAATAACAAATAACATTAAATTAGATAATCATGTCCTATTGAATACATGAATTATCATGTCAGGGAGAAAGACAATATAAACCGGTGCCTTATATTTCCGTGGTACTTAACTGTCCAATATAAACCGGTGCCTCATATTTCCATGGTACTTAACTGTCCAATATAAACCGGGGCCTCACATTTCTGTGGTACTTAACTGTCCAATATAAACCGGTGCCTCATATTTCCGTGGTACTTAACTGTTTAACACAGACAACAAAAGTAAAAACAATAAATAAATGGAAAATATGTTGTTAATTGTATGTAAGTTTGAATACTGTAAACTCATTATTATTCGTGGGACACGAATTTTCGTGGTTTTCGTGGGTAAGTCAATCCACGAATTTAAGATCCCAAGAAGTTTTATCCCAACAAATTCTTCTTACCCAGTCTTTGTTCTATATATTACAAACATGCGTCGGCTCTTTTCCGACCGATATTTTGTGAAATGGATGTATATACAGACAGATAATCAGGTTAGTGACATATTAAATCCGTTCACAATATTTAAGAAACTTGAAAGAAAACTCGATTATATGTCCTCAATTTATTGTCATAAATGTCGCATATATGTACTTGATCATTGTAGTCTACTAGGACTTGATTGTGTCAACAAGAATACTTGACATAATCGAGTAAATATGGGAACCCAGGCAGTGCAATAATTAGCGCTAATAAAAATTGTCAGTTTGCTCTTATTTATTAAAAAAAGTCTTTGATATTAATGTCGTAAGTACACAAAACTATAAATAATATGATCGCTAAAACAGATTTATTGTACATTCTTTTGTTGTTTTGAATGATCCAGTTTATATGAATTTTAATCTGTATTTGTGCGAATGCTATTCCGTCAACATCAAAGACGCCACCGACTTTTACAAGGTATACAAGATCCACACATACTCGTGTTATTTACCATGATTAATTTATATGCATGTAAATGTACACAGTCGCTGTGACATTGCGTGTAGTTATTGTCAAATATGTAAACTCACTGGTTTAAACCTGCAAGGTGTCGTATAAATTATGCGATGTTTACATTGGCGAATTACAGGGGCAGTGTGTATATCATGTCACATAAATGTGTTAATTGCAGTCAATTATCGGCAGTAACTGTGCTATATTAGTTATGCCCAGAGGCAAGGATTAAATTTATTGACAAGTAAAGATATGTACATGTTGTAAGTAAAAATGTTCGGCAATTAAGTTTAAGATTATTTTGCATAAGGTTACTGAATTTTTTTTAACAAGAAAACAAAAATCCACGAATTTAAGAACCCACGAAAATGCCCTTTTTGATAAAACCACGAAATTTCATGCCCACGAATTTAAGTGAATTCACAGTATAGAAATTAACTCCAGTTTCAATTAAAAATGTAATTGTTTGTTTTTTTTTAAATATACAAGGTTTCGACTCAAAAGTCTTCATCAGGTATACTTTGTTAACAGTTAATTGTATGAAAGACATATCAATAACATTATAGTTTATTCCATTTAAATGTTTGCATATAAGCAATTATGTACACAACATGGCAATTAACACCCATCTGCTGCCTAGTGAGTAAAGTTGTGTTCTCATATTTCTAAGGCAAATATCATTTTAAGAGTTTCAAAAGCAAAACCCCTAGTAATCTTTTTTTCTTTAGTATATCAATACCTAGCCTTGTCTGAAAGTGGGGATTGTCTCTATAGCATTTATCTAATATCTCAACGGTTGTTTAACAAAGACAATTGTCTTAAAAGGTATGAAAATTAAAATGGTGAAATAATTTACTTTGCTTTTAATCTGAATAAAATAATATGTTTTCTCAGTCATAAATGTACAATTTTGATAAAAATGCAATAAACAAGTAAAAGTAAAACTCCTGGCAGGTGCATAATGTCTAGGAACCACTTGAGGTTGTGTATGACCTATACCTTGGAATCATGGGTACCACGGAAATATGAGGCACCATTATACTATTTTCAACCCAAATACAGATAATTCTGAAATATTTATAGGCAATCAAATTAGACTTTCAAAAAGAAAGATTAAACTATGCATTTGCTTACCTCTATCAGGATGATTTAAAAGCATAATTCTTTTATGAGCCTGCTTAATTTTTGCTTGTGAAGAGGATGGGCTGAAAGAATAAAGTAAATCTAAATTAAAGTACATCATGATTTCAATCTAAACTAGAACTATCACTAAATGTGATTAATACCCCCACAAGACTGCTTCGGAAATGAGGATGTTACTAGTAACAGAATACCTTGTAAAAGAATTGAAATATAGAGTTATGGTTGTGGGCAATTAAAGATAGTTGTGGTTCTTGTATGTTGCATTTTATTTCAATGTGGTTGGCCATTGATGAAGTTTTATTGAATTACTCTGTAATATGTCCAGAAAGACAAGGAAAAGGAACAAAGGGCAATAACTCTATAAATACTGAAGATGGAGTTATAGTTCTTGTGCACTGCACTTCCTCTTACTGTGCTTGACCATTGTATGAAGTTGTTTTGAATTCCAACCAGTACGTTTTAAGTTATGCTCCGGACAAGGAAAAGTATCAAAGGGTAGTAACTTTGTATTTTGTCAAAATGGAGTTAACCCCTCTTGTGCACTGCACTTCCTTTTAATGTCCTTGACAACTGTATGAAGTTGTATTGAATTCCAAACAGTAGTTTTCAAGGTTTGCTCTGGACAAGGAAAAGTAACAAAGGGCAATTACTCTGTAATTAGTCAAGATGGAGTTATGGTTCTTGTGCACTGCACTTCCTCTCAATGTGCTTGACCATTGTATGAAGTTATATTGAATTCCAACCATTAGTCTTCAAGTTATGCTCCGGACAAAAAAAGCAATGGAAAAGTAACAAAGGGCAATAACTCTGTAATAAGTCAAGATGGAGTAATTGTTCTTGTGCACTGCACTTCCCCTTATTGTGCTTGACCATTGTATGAAGTTGTTTTGAATTCCAACCAGTAGTTTCCGTGTCATGCTCTGGACAAGGAAAATTAACAAAGGGCAGTAACTCTGTAATAAGTCAAGATGAAGTTATGGTTCTTGAGCACTGCACTTCCTCTCAATGTGCTTACCCATTGTATGAAGTTATAATGAATTCCAACAATTAGTCTTCAAGTTATGGTCCGGACAAAAGAAAGCAATGGAAAAGTAACAAAGGGCAATAACTCTGTAATTACTTTAGATAGAGTTATGGTTCTTGTGCACTGCACTTCGCTTATTGTGTTTGACAATTGTATGAAGTTGTTTTTAATTCCATCCAGTAGTTTTCAAGTTATGGCCCGGACAAGGAAAAGTAACAAAGGGCAATAACTCTGTAATTAGTCAAGATAGAGTTATGGTTCTTGTGCACTGCACTTCCTCTCAACGTGCTTGACCATTGTATGTAGTTATATTGAATTCCAACCATTAGTTTTCAAGTTATGCTCCGGACAAGGAAAATGCAACGGACGTCTGGACCGACCGACCGACCAACCGACCACCGGGTGACTCCTATATACCCCCCCAAACTTCGTTTTTGGGGTATCTGTATATCTGTAACATAGATAATAAACTAGAAACGTGTCCATAGGACACGGATGCCCCCACATGCCACTGTTCTGTCAATCTTATGACTCTAGGTCAAATATTTTTTGGACTACGTGTGCCATAAGTTGAAAACTAAAAATCAACAAAGGGTCATAATTCTGTTAAATTTGGTCGCAGCAAAAATTCCTTCCTTTAGTACCATCTACACATTAAGGTTGTTCTTCCCTGGAAGTTTAAGCAAAATCTGCCATCCGGTTTAAGAGAAATTGCGTTCACAAAATTTCTACATAGTATATAGTGAAAAAATCAACAAAAGGCCATAATTCTGTGAAATTTGGTCGCAGCAAAAATTCCTTCCTTTACTACCATCTACACATTAAGGTTGTTCATCCCTGGAAGTTTAAGCAAAATCTGCCATCCGGTTTAAGAGGAGTTGCGTTCACAAAATTTCTATATAGTATATAGTGAAAAAATCAACAAAGGGCCATAATTCTGTTAAATTTGGTCGCAGCAAAAATTCCTTCCTCTACTACCATCTACACATTAAGGTTGTTCATCCCTGGAAGTTTAAGCAAAATCTGCCATCCGGTTTAAGAGGAGTTGCGTTCACAAAATTTCTACATAGTATATAGTGAAAAAATCAACAAAGGGCCATAATTCTGTGAAATTTGGTCGCAGCAAAAATTCCTTCCTTTACTGCCATCTACACATTAAAGTTGTTCATCCCTGGAAGTTTAAGCAAAATCTGCCATCTGGTTTAAGAGGAGTTGCGTTCACAAGATTTCGGGACGTACGGACAGACATACGGACGGACGGACACTCGGACGGACAAGTGCAACGCTATATGCTCCCATTCTGTGGGGGCATAAAAATGTACAAAAAAACTCATATATCTCAGCAATATATGGATGAAATGAACAAATCCAAAATATTTTATAGTAAATAAAAATTGAAAGAAATCAATAAGTGTACCTTTGCACAATTCCTGCATTATTTTTCACATTTTGTCCCTTACAGCATATCCTCAGTTATGTTTTTATTTCACTAACTGAGACAGAATCCTAATTCTCTCACATACAAAAATTACTGCCTTTAACAATATTTATCAAATTCTTTTTTCACATACAGAATGCAACACAAAACAAATGCATCTAGGGGAGTGATGGCCTAGTGGTAAAGGTGTCTGCCTTTCAACCCATGGATCATGGGTTCAAGCCCTAATCGGGTCACGATGATGTTTCTTCATACAGGTTAAGACCAGTAAGCTCCAGTAAGCGGACCCGAAAGTGATTAAAATAAGTTGCAAGAACTTGTTTCGCAATCAAGCTTAAATAAATATGTTTAAAAAAAAAATTTTAATAAGGGAGATAATCATGATATCAGATAAATTAGTCCTATTGAAAGTTATTAAACATAACATCACTTCATTTTCTCCTGAATTCCTACCTTACTCCAAGAATAAGACATGCTTCTCTTTTGGTCATCTTCTGTTCAAAACCACCACGGTAATACCCACTTAAGGCCTGCAATAAGATACAGAAATACAAATCAATTCTGATATCATATAAAATTAAGTCCATGTCAGAGTTATATGTCTTGGAAAATTACAATCCAGAAAACATGTGAGAAGCTCATTAACAGCTTTTATGTTCCAATTTAACAGGAATATTTCACTATACACTATAAGTGGTCACAATATGAATATATAGTGTCATTAAAAAAACTGTCATTTTTTTTTAAGAAAAGACCAACATCACTTGACCTATCATAGGGAATGCAGCTTTCAATACAAAATGTGAACACTTTTTAACTCAAAGTAAAAACATTCAGTAAGTATTTCATGGATTTCAATAAATTTATTTGAATATTTTAGATTATTTTACTAAAAGATGAGCATAGTATATCTTTAAATATTTAGTAAAAGACAAATTCCAAGGCATTTCAAAATCAGTAAAATTTAAGTTGTAATATTTTTGTTCAGTAATTTAAATGTCATCTTGGCAAAAATTAGCAAAATATTTTGATATATGTCAAACTTTGTATGAATGATTTCCTCAAAGTTTATGAGCAATTCAATTATAAACACATATCAATTATAAACGCATATTTTTACCCCAGACTGAAGAGTTTCTACTTTCTTGTAAAGATTCTCAGCATTTTTGGCATATCTTTTTAAAAAGCGACCTGAAAAATACAGAAACATCAACTACATAATATCAGTCTTATTAATATATTAAAATGGTTAAGAGAAATTTTATATCATTTGATATCTTTCATTTTAATCCATTTCCACAACATTTCTGTAACTGAATCTGAATATCATGTCTTTTGTATGTTCTGGAATAACTGATACTGATATTTGAGTTGATATTAGTCATAATTAAAGAAAAAAACATATATTTTTATCTTCTTTGTAAATATACAGAGAAACAAATTGATTTCGAAATAACAAATAGCAAAAGGGTTGGGCCCCAAGTCCTTACAATAGTAGCAATCGGCCCTACCCTTGCTTTTGTCAATCTGCTTCCAACCCATATCAGCCTCACCTGATTGATTTGAAAAGACAGTTCTAAGCATGTTACATGTTATTCTCTATTTTAATGCTCAGAGAGCTAGAAAAAGGTGGCGAAAAGAAGGGCCCCAGCAAAATGTAGGGGAATCAAAACCCTCTTGACAGCTTACAAATATTTGACTTTTATCAGGCCTCGACACTAACTTTTTTAGCAGGTGGTACGCCGGACCACTAGATTTGAAAGTTAGGTGGTCCTTCCAGAAGTCAGGTGGTCAGTAATCTTTATTATGTCATTTTACTGCAAATGTAGAAAAAAATGTTTAAACTTTATGACAAAGATGTATTATTAACCTTTAAAGAAAACAGATATTTTTAGATATAAATTTTTCATCTAATCAGAAAAGGGAGAGCAAGTCAGTAGGTATTTTATCGTAGAGTTATTTGTTTCAGTCAAAAAAACACAACAGAGCTCTTATTTATGTTAACTTTTATATTAAAGTGATTTCTCCCTCAACTCAAGTTAGGGAATAGTGAAGCCATTTGTGTCTGTTATTTTCTTACTGTTATTCAAATATTCATTGCTGGTACGTGGTACGTCTTATAATCATAATAATAACATAGTATCTTTTATGGATTAACATTTTTAATGGAACTAATAAATTATCTTATCCTTGTTTTTGAAAACAAGGAAATATCTAAATTATTAAAATAATGACAATGTACGTTATTATTTACTATAATTTATCTTATTTTTCTCACAGATTTATAATACAGAATTTTACCTCCCTGTTCCTTGCTGGTTGATATTCATTTATGACATTGGGTATTTTTAACCTTTTAAAATAATTTTAACTCGAGAAGAAACAGATCTCTTATCTTTAAACAGTTAAAATAAAGATAAATAGCATAGAATTACTAGATGTATTTTTTCCAGTACCTTTAGTTTGCTGCCGTTATTCAAGTATCTGAAATTTAAGTTTATCCTATATCATATAATTACCATCATCGGATACTCACGGTTGATTAACATGTAACATAACATAAATGTTAATGGTTCCGCCGTGGTTATCAGACGATGCATAATTACTAGCACCATTTGAATGGATTTTGTACCTAAATTTATATCACAAATTCTTAACTCTTTTAACTTGCATAAACAAAATTTTAGCGACTTAAAATGAAAGTTATTGATGACTTAGAACTTCTTGAACTAATCAGAGATTAATGAACCATATAGATTTTAAACAAAATTATATAACATGTTTTTGACCAAATCGCCATTCTCCCAAATGAGCCTTGCATCAACCAGAAAATTCAAGTGGTCCGACGGACCAGTGGGTTTTAAAATTAGGTGGTCCTTGCCAAAATCAAGTGGTCTCGGACCAACGGACCACCGCTAATGTCGAGGCCTGCTTTTATACAAGACTCAAATATAAGGTCTGAAATGCTGAAAATAAAAATGAAACAAGCATACCCCCATATCCAATTGCTGCGAGTCCAAGCCCTGCCAATATCAATCCAGTTCCAGGCTGAAAATACACAAAAGTACATTATTTATATCAAATATCAATCCAGTTCCAGGCTGAAAATACACAAAAGTACATTATTTATATCATATTCATAATTTGTTTCCAAGTTGTTTTTTTGAAACCCTGATATTAAGGTGTTAAGTCACTTTGCCAGTATCTTATAATCAACTGAAGCATAACATGCTATTTCACATCACTGATTTCTGATCACAAAAACTCAATTGAGGTCAATACCTTATGACTAGGAAATCATTTTAAATATGGTTGACCTGTCAGGTGTGAAATTTCAAAAATGTAATAATAGATTAATACTATTTTTTTCTAATTCAAAAGTTAGATATAATTTTGTAATACATTTGCCAACTGTCCAGATAATGGTTATAATAACTTAATATCACACTGAGTTTTAAAAAAAAAATTATGCTGAAAGATCTAGAAACATTGATTTATTCATAACAGTGTTGCATTTAATTATTTAAATGAAACACTCAAAGGAGAGCTGGATGTTTTCAATTACTGCAAAATCACTATTATTCGCGGAGCAGGAATTTTTGTGGTTTTTGTTGGCAGGTCAATCTACAAATTCAAGACCCATGGAAATTTTATCCTAACAAATACATGTACTTATAATCATGTCTCTATTCTATATAAAAACAAACCTGTATCGGTGCTTTTCTGGCCAATTATTGTGTTTTGAAGGTATACAGTTAATCAGATTAGTAACAGATTAAATCCATAAATAGTTTAGGTTTGCGATACATGTATTTAAGAAACTTAAAAGAAAAGTCAACTATATGTATTCAATTTGTTGTCACAAATGATCATTGCATATATATATATGTATTTATTAGGATAAAATTTCCATGGGTCTTGAATTTGTAGATTGACCTGCCAATGAAAACTAGTCAAAATATATTGACGTGCCAAAGCTTGATTCTGAGATATTTTCGTTCTGGGGCAGAATCTCGCTTTAACGAGGCGAGATATTGCCCAGACACGAAAATAGCACAATATCTCGTCGCGCAGTACAATTAGTTGGACTAAACGAAAACCACAAAAATTCATCGTTGGGACTACTTGATCATTGTAGGCTACTTGACTGTGTTAACCAGAATACTTGACATAATCGAGTAAATATTCGGACCCAGTGCATTAATATCAACTTATTAAACTGTTAAAATTATGTCTATCTAATTGACTTTAAAGATGTCTTTGACATTAATAATAATAATGTCATAAGTAAAGTTAACTTTGCATTTGGTTATTTATTTTATAACAAGAAAATGAAAATTCACGAATTTGAGAACCCACAAAAATTACCGTTTCGATAAAAAAAAAATCATGCCCCTGCATTTTCTTAGTACGAATACTTTTGAGGACGAGTCAATCAAAACTTACCATATTTGATAAATGTCAGGTATTTCTTAAGTTGACAATATCTTATTCACAAGTAAATGCTTACACCAATGTATATTAAATTTTTGTTTTCGCTATATTGATATAGAAATTTTATGTAAACTTTTGTTAGTTTGTCCTTAAAATCTTACGAAATATTTTATTGATAAAGTGCGAAACGTTTTCTATGCTAATTTCTGTGCCGTGCCGTAATAGAAAGTTTCGTCTCTCTTCACGTCTCTCCCTCCAGTTCCTTCCCTGGTTGTTCTCCTATTTTTTGGGAGAACTTTTTGCATTTGTGCAATATTTGCAGAGAGTTCCTCACAACTTTATTCCCATTAATACAACGATATAAATCTAGAGAAAAATATCTCAGCATTAAACATCTCAGCAGAAAAGAAACTAAGTTAGCCTATCAAAATTACTTAGAAGATATACTAAACATTAACAACAACATCTCTCAAGAACATGAACAAACACAAACCAGACCAAACACCAAAAAGCTATATTCACTATTAAAACACTCAAAACAAGATTCTTTCGGCATTGACTCACTGAAAAAAACACAACAAACTGTATACATCAGATCAAGACAAGGCAACAGTACTAAATTAACAATTTCAATCAGTTTTCACTTCTAAATCCCCTGTTTCTCTTAAATTACTTGCTGATATGAAGGTACAGGATCAGGCAGATACAGGTAGAGAGGTTCCCCACACATCATTTAGCCCCCATAACCCCATGCGTGATTATTGATATTTTCTGTAAAAGGTTGTTTGAGAAGCTTCTTAAAAAACCTCAACCCCCATCTAATCAGCTGGCAAAGGCTTGCAGGACCTGATCAAATTAGACCCATTGTGCTAACAAATACCAGTAAAAGAATTAGCCCCTATAGTGTCCAAACTTTTCCAGAAATTCACTGGCAGTCCAGCACCTCTAACCAGACATCTGAAAATGGCAAATGTCGCCCCTGTATTTAAAAAGGTAGCAAGTCAGACCCCAGCTAGCCAACTATCGCCCTATCTCTCTTACCTGTATCTGGTGTAAAACCCTGGAACACATTGTCACCTCTAAGTATAACAAAGCACCTTACTAGCATCAACTTGTTCTATGAATTTGCAGTAGTGGTTTCCGAGAAAAAAGGTCATGCCAATCCAACTATTAAGGCTTATAGATGATATCCTAACAGTCAGTAAATCAAAGAAGCCAAATAGACTTAATCCTTCTTGACTTCTCTAAGGCCTTTGATATGGTCAACCATGAAAACTTCTGTATAAGCTGCATTGGGGTCAAACTCTTAATGGATCAAAGGTTTTCTTGATAACAGGTCACAGTCCGTGGTGTGGTAAATGGCTGCCACATCCAGCTCCATACCAACCGTCTCCTCCGATGTTCCCCAGGGCTCGGTCCTCGGACCTCTCTTTATTTCTTATATACACCAATGACCTTCCCTGAATATGTCCAATCTTCTAAAGTCCGCCTATTTGCTGATGACACGGCCATCTATTCTATCTCTGACTGTCGCTTCTCATTCTAGCTTACTGGCAACATGACTTACACCAACTTGAACAATGGGAGGACAAAATGGGACCATGCAATTTAATGCCATCGAAATGCCAGGTTATCCAAATCACAAAACGAAAAACAAGTCATTCCAACACAATAAAGCCTTCTACATAACACCAACATTAGAAACAGTTCCATCTGCAAAATAACCTTGGCATTACAAGATATCAAATGATCTAACATGGAACAAACACATAAACAACATTACAACAAAGGCGAATCAAACACTTGGTTTTCTACGCCGAAACATCAAAGTTCACTCAGAAAGGTTAAAGTCAACCGCATACAAGACACTTGTCAGACCCCCAGCTTGAGTCACAGCTCCCCCGGTCTGGTCCCCCTACACAGGAACTCTCATTGACGCAGATAGAGTCCGTCCAGAAAAGGGTTTGCTAGGTGGGTCAAACATGAACTTTGGCCGTATGTCAAGTGTCACTGACATGATGACTTCACTTCAGCAAAGGAGGCGCCTTGACCCTCGGCGTATTGACCAACGCCTGGTCATGTTTCACAACATCTTGCATGACCAGGTAGCTATCCCTTTCCCCAAAATATATCATCCCTCTTACAAGATTCATCTAGAACATCCCATCCCCATGCATTTCCAACAAGTCCAAACCTTAAAACAGATACTATAATAAATTCATTTTCCCAGAACAATAGTCCACTGGAATGCTTTACCACCTGATATCATAAACTTGTCTGGCCCCGAGTTCAGTCAGGCTGTAAGCCGGATTGAACATACGTCTCCCTAAAATACCTTCTCTGTTTTTAACCTGTTTTTAACAACATACCCATTTCCATTACTTTTATTTTCTTTTATTTCAGCTCTTTTACTAACATTCTTGTCAGTTGACGCGCGTCAAGTCTAGGTCCCCAGCAGGGGTTTGACTATATGGAAGATAGATATATAGATATTGATACTTCTTGATGTTCATAATTAAAATTGGTATGTTAATTATGAATTTATATAGAATTAGGAAAAAGAATCTGTTTAGCTAATTATTCATTTTGAGATAATCATTCTGGACATTTGATTTAATTAAGATTATGTTTCATAACTATTGAACATAACTGTCTTGTATCATCTATTGTATATTTTGAAGATTTCAAGATTTATTCAATACTGTCATGGTTCATAAGATTATATGACATAAAAAATAAAATTGTAACAACCAGAACACAGAAAAATATACAGGAGAATCATATATATCATTATATTGATCATTATATTAAGATAAGATAAGATAATCTTTATTTATAGTCGGTTACATAAAACATATAAACATTAGCTATATAAGCTATTTTCCGACATAACAGACTATCCTTTAACAATGCAAACAAACAATCTGTTTAAAAGAAAATATATAAAAGGATCAAGAAGATCAATGTACATTTATGAGTGACTCTGTAAAACAAATAAGATTTATAAGCACATATAATTATGGATAAGATAATATTAATTAATTAAAAGCTAATATAACACTAAAATCAAACATCACAGAATATTACGTCTTACAAGAATTCCATTTAAAGTATGTACACAACCCTATAATCAGAATTAGATTTTTTTTATAATAATGATTCAATCTTATTTCAATATAGTTGACCTTAAGTCCAGCATGTTGCTTGAGCATATATATCAGTAGCAGCATCTGATATATACTCAATCATGAAAATATGGGTGTAACTAGTAAAATATGTACAAGCATCAAAATAAAAATTTGATATGTTTCTGTAACAGTTGCTGATCTGAGCTGGCCTAGACAAAGTCATACGGGGAAAGCTTATTTGAAAAGAAAAAACATACATACATATATATCTATTAATACTGAATTAAATTAAAAGTAGAAATAAAAAGGTAAAAAAATGTAAAAAAAACTATTGTCCCCATAATGGGATATGTGAAAAGCTGATCAGCAGCTGCCACACACTCTAACACTAAAACACTGACAAATGACTCTACAAATATACAGAACAGTAAAAAGCACACACGGAGAACACAAGAAGCACATGAAAAGCATATAAAGGATTATATAAAACAAAAGTACAGGCCTTATGTATACAGCATTTCTTTATGGCAGACAAAATACAGAAAAAAAAACAAAAGAAGCATGCAGCTACATTAAAGCCATGAAATTTTACATACATGAGGGCAGATAACTAAAGAGCAAGGCATTGAGAAAAATACTCAACAAAAACAAAACACTTATTGTTTCCCGTAAAATAAAGATAAAGATAAAATATGATAAACAAGATAAAAAGGAAATTAAGGTGGCCGTTCAATAAACCAAAGGGATCCGGCACATGTGGTTGGGATAGTGGTAGACTATAATAATTATATATAGTATAATAAAGTATTTTTTTTCATAGTAATTACTTTTTTACAGCTATCCCAACATTTATATGCCGTGTCCCTTTGGCAATAACGCAAATCCAACATGTCTCGGCAACTAAGAGAACCAGTGGCAAGGAAGCCTAGCTAGGAGGACACCAAAAGAGAACAGGACATGGTGCAAGGCCAAGCATCAAGAACTTTATTCTAAATATTGACCGAAATTTATGCTTCATTAACAAAATTTTCTAGTAGACTAATACTGTCATGGTTCATAAGATTATGTGACATATAATACAAAATTGTAATTATATAACAACCAGAACACAGAAAACATACATATTTAAACAGGAGAATGAGTGATAATTATATTGTACCTGTAAAATAAGATAAAGATAATTAAAATATGATTAACAAGGTTTGATTTTTTAAAATGTGGTTTATTCTTACTATTTACATATGTATATAAGATTTTCAAATTTCAATGCATTAGGATAACTATAGTAAAATTCGTCACCAAGTTAGTTTGACTCGCATAAAGTACGTATTCGCAAGTTTATATCTATATTTAGGAATCTACATTTTCTCAATTGGCATTTTATGATTCATTCAGGTTGTGTATAAGTTTCAACAATCTGTATATAATCTATATTGTTTTGCAAAATCTAAAACTCTTTGCTTACCAAAGTATATCCATTATAGTACGGCACAACGGTATTTAGCAAAGTAAAATGGCCGCTGCCCATGAGAAAGTCACGATTGTTTTAACAGTTTAGGCATTTATTTTAAATTTCAATGCTAAAATTAAACGTGTGTCATATCATGATTCTGTTCGTGTAAGGTTTGCACACCCAAGCCCTACAGGCATGGTTGCATTAGGAGGACTTAGAACAGCCTTATTTAACTATTTATTTTGCCCAAGTCGAAGAAATGGGAAATTTTGTTTAAAGGATAGAAGACACTGATCAGGTATATTCCTACAATCATGAAATGAAATGAACCTGCACATAATACTCGAAAGAAGGTGTTGCAGTATATAACGATAGATAGATAGACGTTGTTAGGTCGAAAACTTTGAAGTTTGTCTATCAAATGGTGATATTTCAAGCATATTGCAACAAGCAGACAAGGTACATGTAGTCAAGACTATTCTATCCCTTACCATTTCCTCTCCTGACGTTACCTCCCTGACTGTGCTCTCCCTAATTTGGGGGAGAAAAGTCTGCATATTTCAAATTTTGAGGGGAACTGTCCGGGAAGGAACTGGTAAGGGAGAGAATAGGACTTCTGTTATCTTGTAGCAACTTGACAAAGAGAGCAAAGGCTATCGTATGATTTTTGGCTTTACTTGATCTGTTGATATATCAAAGTTCTGGTTCCTCTTAAAGGGTGGGTCAGGGTTCTCACTAGGACTTTAAAACATGGAGTCCATGGACTCCCAACCCTGAAAAACATGGAGTCCAAAAGCGCGTCGCAATTAATAAGTTTACAGATTAGTCATTCAATGCTCATAATAGCATTGCTGATATTTTGAATCTTTAAGAGACTTTCAAAGTTTATAGTTATTCAAAAGAAACTCTGAACTACATAGTATAATTATTGTTTTGTTGTTAATATTTATTATGAAATTATTTCATTATAATACATCAACACATGGAAATCGTTTGTTTTTTTTTTCACTTTTATACCAAATCAAATTTTATTCTGGTTAGATAAGTCCACTCTAAAGACAAAAAGTTTATATTTGTAAAAAAAACGTAAATGTATATGGGCAGCGTTTAGCGGAATGAATAGGAAAATCGTGTACAGCTTCACACAGTGTGTAAGAGATTCATCCGATCGACAATTATTTTAGCAAATATCTTTCAAAAGGGGCAAAATGAAGATCGATATTTTTAAAAGATTAATGTTGATTAAATAATAAAAAGAACAATTCATTCACATGTTTGGGCTTGGAAACTGAGAGAATTTTTGCGAAATTTTAGGGCTTTCTGGCGACGTGAATTCGCCGATGTTCGGTATCAATTTTCGGATAGAATCTAAATATCAAGAAAAAGCGTATGTGTATTTTGATTTGTTGTCCTGGAATTTCAGCACAATATCTTAAATTCTTAATACACTTATAGAATGTTTTTGCTAGAATGAAACTAAAGCAAAATTGCGCCTAGAAAATGCCGAAAATATTCGACATCATTCAAAATTACATTCATTCTAAGTCATTTGTAATTTGAGAAAACAGTCTTTAAACTTGCGTCGTAAATTGTCGATAATTTTATCCTTTTGTCGGTAAAGTTCGCTAATTTCCAATCAACTGTTGATCAAAGATATAAAATTATCACCTTGTGTTATATCTGGTAATTACCTGTACAGCGCGTGTAAACATTAGTCTGATAATGATGGGAAGATTGGCTAATCGCTTCACGGGTCGATGTGCATAGGACCGCCTACCTATAGACTGACACGCGCTGATGTGTGTATTGTGGTTCTAAACAATCGGTAATGTTTATGCGTCCTCAGGCAAAATTAAGCGTACGTGGAATCCTTGCTCTGAAATATTTGCGTCCAGCTGTAATAAACATGCGTACCGGGATGCCGAAATAAGCGTCCCCGAGAACCCTGGTGGGTCCTGGTGTTTAAGGACGAGGTGAGACAAGGCAGACTTGACTAAGGCGGACCATAGATTGGGACAGGCAGCGAGTATGATAGGACGGGACCATGACTCCAGAGAAGATGGACGGTTATTTTGATTAATGTCAAATTTTTACATTTTTTTCTGTCTTATTTTTATACGCCCGTTTGAAAAACGGGACGTATTATGTGAACGCCCCTGGCGGTCGGGCGGGCGGCGTCCAATTTTGTCCGGAGCATATCTCCTACATGTATGGAGGGATTTTAATGAAGCTTCAAAGAAATGTTCACCACTATGAGGAGCAGTGTCGCGCACATGAACCAGGTCTGTAGGTCAAAGGTCAAGGTCACACTTAGAGCTCATTGAAAAATGCTTGTCCGGAGCAAAACTTCCACATGTATAGAGGGATTTCAATATTACTTGGCACAAATGTTCACCATTGTGAGGCGGAGTGTCGCGTGCAAGATTCAGGTCCTTGCGGCCAAGGTCAAGGTCACACATAGAGGTCAAAGTTCAGATAAAAATATGAAAGATGTGTATATGGACCATTTAGTCATCATTTATTGAGGGATTTGTAACACAAATGGTCATTATCAAGACTATGGCTGTGATACATATAATTTAGGTCAATATATACAAGGTCAAGGTCACTCAAAAGATGATGAAATATCCAGATTTTGTAAATAGAATTTAATCAAAGGGCGACAACAAAGTTATTACTTTGTTCATAAATGACTTACACAATTACTACCCCTTGATCTACTTTCACTTTCAATTCTAAAAATAGAATTTAATCAAAGGGCATAAAATAATCCTCTTTCTTGGACTTGAGTATGTTCTAAAAGAATGTAACATTTATTTACACATGTTTCATTCATTGGTCAAGATTCTTAACTGTGATAACTATGGTGTTCTGTAGACTTGGTATTTGTTCATAAAGATCATACAGTAATTACCTTATCAAAATGTAAATACTTTCTCATAGAAATTTAATTATATTTTAATTTTCAAGTAAATATCAGTTCAGCTCTCCTACATGTATGGAGGGATTTTCATGAAACTTCATAGAAATGTTCACCACTTTGAGGAGCAGTGTAGCGCACATGAACCAGGTCTCTAGGTCAAAGGTCAAGGTCACACTTGGAGCTCATTGAAAAATGCTTGTCCGGAGCAAAACTTCCACATGTATAGAGGGATTTCAATATTACTTGGCACAAATGTTCACCATTGTGAGGCGGAGTGTCGCGCGCAAGATTCAGGTCCTTGCGGCCAAGGTCAAGGTCACACATAGAGGTCAAAGTTTAGATAAAAATATGAAGATGTGTATAGGGACGATTTAATCATCATTTATTGAGGGATTGTAACACAAATGGTCATTATCATGACTACGGCTGTGACACATGTACTTTAGGTCAATATATGCAAGGTCAAGGTCACTAAAGATGGTGAAATATCCAGATTTTGTCTGGAGCATATCTCCTACATGTATAGAGGAATTTTTATAATACTTTATGGAATTGTTCACCACCATGATATGTATTGCTCCATGCATGATCCAGGTCTCCAGGTCAAAGGTCAAGGTCACACTTAGAGCTCATTGAAAAACGCTTGTCCGGAGCAAAACTTCTGCATTCATAGGGGGATTTCAATATAACTTGGCACAAATGTTCACCATTGTGAGGCTGAGTGTCGCACGCAAAATTCAGATCCCTGCGACCAAAGTCAATGTTACACATAGAGGTCAAAGTTCAGATAAAAATTTGAAGATGTGTATAGGGACCATTAGTCATCATTTATTGATGGATTGTAGCACAAATGGTAACTATTTCATGACTACAGGTGTGACACATTTAATTTAGGTTAATATTTGCAAGGTCAAGGTCACTGGAGATGATTAAATATCCAGATGTTGTCCGGAGCATATTTTCTACATGCATGGAGGAATTTTAATGTTATTTTATAGAATTGTTCACCACCATGAGACGTAGTGCCCTGCACATGAACCAAGTCTCTAGGTCAAAGGTGAAGGTCACAGTTAGAGCTCATAGAAAAAAACGCTTGTCTGGAGCAGAAAACTTCTACATGCAAAGAGGGATTTCAATATAATTTGGCACAAATGTTCATCATTGTGAGGCTGAGTGCCGTGCATAAAATTCAGGTCCCTGCGACCAAGGTCAAGGTCACACATCCTGTGCATATCTTCCCTACTGATTTGTTTTAAGGTTCATTTAACAACACAGTGCCAAGAATAAAAACTTGCTTGCTAGATAACACTTATCCATAATGCCCCCATCTCCATCTAAAGCTTTCGTAAACGGGCGTATTTTGTGACTATGGCACCCTTGTTTTATATATCTTGATATTGATAAATAATATGAAAGTAGACAAAGCCTCTGAACTGGCAAGTAAAAAAATTGTTCTTTAATTCATTATTACATTTTTCCTTTAAAAAGTGTAATTCACTATTTTATGCACCACTTCTGTTTTAAAACTAGGCAATTATAATAAGGCTTGGTCAGTTATGGTATTAACTAGCCATTTATCATAGAGTTACAATTTACATAAAAAGAAGCAGAAATGATACTGAAAATTTCACTGATGGGTATAGAATTCTATATACTTTTTCAATTGTCTTTTTTTTATTTCATTTCCTTTTTAATATACATGTGTAGTCTATAGCCGTATTTTATTTAAGCATTTGACTTATACTTGAACAAAACACCACTTCAATGTGTTGAAACCGAAATGTTGAATTGTTCAAGATTGACATTGACTTTAAATAGACCTTGACGATCAAGGTCAAATTATTGAATATTGCTTAAATCGAGATAACTTGAGTTTATTATTATTTTTTGTTGTTGTCTAGGAGTTAATTCCTTCTTGATCAAAACAAAACTTGTCACCCACATACTGAATTATTCAAGGTTGATGTTTGACCTTAAAGTGTCTGGACTGAGTATCATGGTTGAGTTGTTGAATTTAATTTTGTTCTTTTGTCCTTTCTTTGTTATTAATGAACAGATTTTATTATTACTTTGTAAAAAGCACTCCAATTACCATGGAGATTGACATGTTGAATAATTCAAGTATGACCTTGTTCTGTAAATGAGTTTAACTGATAAGGTCAAATATGAAATTATAATTCAATTCTGTACTGTGTTTTTGAAAACCCTGTACCATAATATTTTTCTTTTGGTGCATTTGCCTTTGGCAATAAGGTAATAGAAGAGCCTGTCCCCATCAGACTGTGGCTCTTTTTAGAAATGTAATGTAAATTAAGATTCGTTTCCATATTCTTTAAATAGTTTGGTAAACAGACTAGTTTCAAGTAGCAGAAAAATGTCCAAAATTTCCAATTATATATTCCACTATTAAATATTCATACTTTAACTGTTATTACTCTATTTGCCTGATTAATATCTTAATCAGAAACACAAAGTCAGCTCCCAGTCAGCCAACTCTGACTTTGTCATAAAAAGAGTTGAAAAAGAATTTAAAATTGGTAATATATGTCTAGAACTGTATAAAAGATATTTCGAAAATATTTATTATTATCAAATACTGTATAAAGAATTGAAAATGTTTGACTTTATTTTTACAGACAAGAAAAGTTCCGAAGGCAGTGGAGAAGCTAGAAGACGTGTTACAGTGGACAGGAATAGTGCCAGATGAAAGTAAATTTCTTTTATTATCTAGGGATGTTATTAAAACTTGTTATCAAACTTAATGTAATTTTAAAAATTGTTCAAATGAGTAAAAAAAAAAGAATAGAAAATTATGACAAATTTTAAATGACAAGTCTGAAATAGGCTGTTTTTTTATACAGAATAATTGTAGATGTTATCTGAAACTTGGCCAATGTAGGTTATTCCCATTTTATTCTGGTTGCTTATGAACTTTTACTATTAAAGCTTCACAGTGTACTTCCATTTGTAATGGAGTGATCTATGAATTGTATTTATTTTCAATATATTTACTATTACTTAGCGCAACTACACAAGGTTTTAATTGTAAAATATTTGCTTGTACTCCTGGATTAACTGTATTACACAAAGTTTATATTGTGTCATATTACATATCATATGTATTGATGTAAACATGTATGTTATCATTTATTGATAGGTCCCACAGTTGGTGGATCATATGGGCCATACTTACAGGTAGGTAAAGGTTTTATATATATTTTTCAGTGTTATTATTATTGCAGTTAGAGGTAATTTAGGATGGGGCAATATTTAAGCTGATTTTACTCAATAATGCTTAGATTTATTTGACTTAACCTTTGTGAAGCCCATTTTACCAACATTTTAGAAGTAATCAACTTTAAACTTGGAATTCTTGCTTATCTGGACATGGTGCAGTTGTTAGACAAGTGGCATAATTCTGATGCACCTTTTTTAACTTAGAATTTTTGTCAAAAGTGGTTATTTAAACAGACGAGAATTAATATTACATGTAGTGCTCTTGTTTCATGTGTTGGAAGCTACATGTATAGGATCCATTAAGTATCTAGAAGGTCACTGGTTTTACTGAAGGCCTGCTTTATCGAAAAAAATGCATTCTGCTGTAACCAAGTTTTTCATTTATGTGTTAAGTTTTGCACACACAAAATTGTTCTGTCATTATAAAAATGAAATGTTGTTATTGTTTTTCAGTCAGAAAGGCGTTCATTGTATGAAAAAAGTGTTGACGCTCTTTTGAAGGTAAGACTCATAATTATTGATTCTAATATCATAAATTGATAATGGGGCAGTGTATGTTCAAATTTTATACTGCCCATGACTTTAGTGTGGACTATTATACTTTGTGTCATATTTATTTTTCATAAAAAAAATACTTTCAATTATGACCATTATTTTACATGTTTGCTGTGTTTACATAGCTTTTTGTGGGTTTTAGTGTGGATAAGTTACTGAGGCTTAAAATGGGTTTCCATACTTTACATCATAGTATGGTCCAGTTTTCACCATTGTTTTAGCATTATAGGTTTTTATCATTAGAAATGTACATGATTACTGTAAGCACATAAAGTTTGGGCATTTTATTGTTTAATGTAGCTGAAATCTACAATGTCTTTAGAAAAATATTTTATCACATACTCGTGCCACTTTTGCGACTCTGTAAAAATGGTATTGCACAGCTGTTTATAGATTTTGATATGACGGCATTTGCGTTTTATAAACATAGGGTTTAGACGCACTAAATGGTAGCATTATACTATAGGCACATCAATGAAAAATGATTCTTCTTTTTCATGTCAAACAGTCTTTATTTTTGATATATGATAGATTAGATAGAATATTAAATTTTTGTAAGTTCATTACTAAATTTATTGAACTAGAATAAAATTATATTATTATAAAGTATAGTGCTTGAAGTTGTGTGGTAAAAATTAATAACGATGAATTAAAACCATAGAAAAAGCATTAATGTTTTACAAGTAAGGATATGATTCATTTCTCTTTTGAGCACCAGTTTGTACATTTTCAGCTATGCAAGTTATGAAAATATTATGCCTGGTGTTTATTTTGTAGAAATGTGTTTTAATATTACACGGGGACACAAATGGGGATAAGAATAGTACACAAATATGAAGCTTAGTGGAGTTCCTTTAAAGCTACATGCCTCCAGATGAGTCAAAATATTTCAATAAAATCAAACTTGATAAAAATGTACTAAGGAAAAGTAAAAAGTTTCAAGATTCAAGTTATATTTTACATAATATGTGCGATTAATGACTGATTTTTCAGTATTTACATCCATACTTCTACTGAGTTACTTACGCAGTAAAGGCTATTTATGCATATTTTGATCACTTTTCGATAATTTACATGATTTGCAAGTGCCATTGATAATGTGTAAATTGCTTCCTTTTGGTTACTTCACAATATTACGCATTAAAATACATTTTCAAAACTGTCATGAAAATTAACATTAATCTTGAGGTGTGCTGCTTTAAACAAACATCTATCCTCTTATTTATTTTACAGAGTGGGCACTGCTACCATTGTTTCTGTACAGAGAGAAGATTAGAAATGTTGCGGAAAGATGCGGCTAAACGAGGAGAACCTCCACGATACGACAACAAGTGTAGATATCTAACTGAGGAGGAAGTAAATGAAAACTTGGAACAAAATATTCAGTCAGTGATCAGATTTAAGGTATTTTTACTTCTCAATCTTTTTGTTTGATTTTTAAAAAAAAGTGCTTGATAGTTGAGTCTCAGATTAAGACAATTTTTATCATAAATCATAAATAGAAAGTCATCGGGGAGCTGTTTGCGATCAAATCGTGAATTTTAAATGAAAATCGTTGTATTAAAGATAATGAATCAAGTAGAATGAATAATGAACACATGATTAGTTTTAAAGCAGCATGCATACAGATTCATCTAATTTTTCATGAAGATATTGAAAATTTATTTAAAAAAAAAAATTTGAAGTGAACAAAGAAAATAACGCATTGCAAACGCCACTTAAAGTCTAGGTAAATTACCAAAATGAAGTCAAAATATGCCAAAGAAACCCTTGCTGGGTTAGTCACGCAACTGAAATATGGTGATAAATACTACAAAATCAGTGATTAATCGCACATAGCCTGTAAAGTATTATTTAAATCTTTAATCTTTTTACTTTTCTTAAAATCTTAGTACATTTTTCTCAAATCTGATATTTTTTAATTATTTTGACTTGTTTAGAGGCATGCAGCTTTAAGGTTTATTTAAATATGATAACTAGTGTTATTGTTATACATAATGTAAATCTGCATGAACTTGTGGTACTCCCTACAATCAATGGTTTATTTTGACGGGGAGGTAAGTCTTTGTAAATATTCTCGTTTTTAAGATGATGAGTCATGACACCTTCCTTGTATTGTCATATTTTAATACTGCTAATGCTTTTTTATGCCCCCGCCATGTAATGGCCGGGGCATATAGTGTTACCCTGTTCCGTCCTTCCGTCATTCCGTCATTCCGTCATTCTGTCATTCCGTCATCATCAGTTTCCGTTCATTATCTTAGTAACGGTTGCACACATTCAACTCAAATTTGACATATGGATATGTCGTGAGAAAATACAGGTCAAGTTCGAATTTGGTCATGGTTCGATGATTTTTTGGCAGAGTTATGCCCCTTTTACTTTGAAAATAATATGAAATTTTCAGTTTCCGTTCATTATCTCCCCAACAGTACAACACATTCAACTCAAATTTGACATATGGATATGTCGTGAGAAAATACAGGTCAAGTTCGAATTTGGTCATGGTTCGATGATTTTTGGCAGAGTTATGCCCCTTTCACTTTGGAAATAATATGAAATTTTCAGTTTCCAGTCATTATCTCCCCAATGGTACAACACATTTAACTCAAACTTGACATATGGATACGTCACAGGAATGCGCAGGTCAAGTTCAAAGTTGGTTATGGTTCAATGATTTTTGGCAGAGTTATGCCCCTTTCACTTTGAAAATAATATGAAATTTTCAGTTTCTGTTCATTATCTCCCCAATGGTACAACACATTTAACTCAAACTTGACATATGGATACGTCATAGGAATGCGCAGGTCAAGTTCAAGGTTGGTCATGGTTCAATGATTTTTGGCAGAGTTATGCCCCTTTCACTTTGAAAATAATATGAAATTTTCAGTTTCTGTTCATTATCTACCTAATAACTCAAATTTGACAAATGGATATGTCAAAGGAATGGGCAGGTCAAGTTTGAATTTGGTCGTGGTTCGATGACTTTTTGGCAGAGTTATGTCCCTTTCACTTTGAAAATAATATAGATACATCTTAGGAATAAGCAGTTTAAGTTTGAATTTGGTCGTGGTTCAATGATTTTGGACAAACTTATCTTTCTTGAATGTTGTAAAAATTTTGAACTTTCAGTTTCAGCACTGAAATGTATGTAGCCATTATTTTGGCTACAAATATGAAATATGCTATTTTCAAAAGGTTTAGACTGAATAATTTCAGTGCCTTGAACATTGTATGAAAATGGTTTGTGTTAACATTGAAAAGTTTTAAGGGCTTTGAACTTAAAATGAAAAAAATTATTTGTGCAAACAAATTTGGAACTAAATATTATAACATCTGAAATTTTGGCTGCATGCGGGGGCATCCGTGGCATGATGACACATTTCTAGTTTTCCATATTGTCTAATTAAAATTACATGAATCCATACTTTTAAGATCCTGTAACTCAATTTTTTTTATGGTTTTATTTTTTGTATCATAAATATGATGCTGAAATGAAATTCATCAATATTGTAAGTTCCAAAAAGCATTATTTGTAAAGATATTACCGAATTTACATTACATGTAAATAAAGGGAGGTAATTATAAATTTATTTTCAATAAAGTTTAAGCTGAACTTTTGAATAAGAAATAAATGCATATATTTTAATGATTACTTTTAACGAGTTTGAACATTTGCAGTACACATTTGATATATTCTTGGATGTTTTGAAGTTGTTTCAGAAGTATAATTACATGTATATACTTCTATAAAATTTCACTTAAGTGTTGTTAATTAGAACATACAGGATCTTTAATACATTTTGTATGATTTGTCATTGTTGATACATTGGTTAAGGCTTAAAATTTAAATTTTCTTTATTGTAGTATGAGCCATTAGAAAGTGCTTGGACGGATCTTGTTTATGGTTTAATGCACGAGAAGTCTGTGGGTGAATCTCTGGAAGGTGATTTTGTAAGTACAATTTATGTTCATAGGTGCTTTAGTAATCAGTTAAATGTCTCCTTGTCTTAAACCTACTAAGTACAAGTAGACAATAAAATCCTTATCACACCAAATATTGTAAATGGACTTGTCCATCTTCAGAATTAGATTAAACCATTCATACTTTTAGGGAAAAAATTTGAAATATCTACTGACTAAATAGCGATCAGTAAGACCTTGATTAGATGGCACGGCACAGATTAGATGACTAATATTTGCCTGCAATGGTTGCATGAGTACATTATGTTGCTACCAAGCAGTCTAAGAGTAAACCGTCATGCCAGTCTGTGATTCTAGGACAGGTTGGCACAAATAATATTGGCCTTTGAACAAAGTTGTCTCTGATACTGAAAATATATAGATCTATCTAGTTTTCAAAGCATTTTGAGTTCATATTTGTTGCAGGGTATAGTTTAAGTTGGTATTTGTTTAAGAGGTAAAGCAAAGATGCTGGTTTGAAATATTATAACCCTTATAAGGAAGTGATTAGCCTTTGGTATAGAGACATTCTTGAAGTCTAACCAGGCCCTTTACTGTTGGCTGACCAAATTTTAAGTTTTCAACTTGATTTCCCTTAGATTGATAATGAACAGTTCCAAAAATGGAAGCTGGACAAGTTCATTTAAGAAAATCAGCAGGTTGAATGTTAACAGCCTCTTATAAGGCAAGAACCTTAAATTTTACACTGCAAAAAATCCCTGTGGTTACCTTTGGTCCAAGTCAGAATTATCTGTTGCCTTAAATCAGTACATCACATTTAATTGCCATGACATTGCCATTGGCGTTTTTATTTTTCTGAAAATTTACATGTACCTCATTTTGATATTGTTAGATAGTGATGAAGACGGATGGCTTTCCGACATACCATTTTGCAAATGTTGTAGATGATCATTATATGAAGATTTCTCACGTTTTAAGAGGCGAGGTAAGATTATTTTATATCTTGGTATAAACATATTTATTTAAGCTCGATTGTGAAACAAGTTCTTGCAACTATTAATCACTGTCGAGTCTGCTTCCTGGAACCAATCAGTACTGGTGTCATATGAAGAAACATGGTCGTGACCCAAGTATGGCTCGAACCCATGATCTCTAGGATGAGAAGCAGACACCTTAATCACTAGGCCACCGCTTCCTTACATATCTTGAGATAAGACAGCATAATGTGTGGAGAAGAAAGGAGTATTGAGAAAGACAGCATGATATGTTGAGGTGGAACAAGTTTTGAGAAAGGAGGTAAGACAGCATGATGTGTAGATAAAGAAGGAGTATTTAGAAAGGGTGTGAAACTGTGTGGAGAAGAAAGGAGGTAAGACAGCATGATATGTGGAGAAAGGAGTATTGAAAAAAGGAGGTAAGACAGCATGATATGTGGGAAAAGAATGAGTATTGGGAAAGGAGGTAAGACAGCATGATGTGAGGAGAAGGAAGAAGTCAAAGGAAAAGGAATGAGTATTTAGAAAGAGTGTAAGACTGTCTAGAGACTGGAGAAGAAAGGAGTATTGGGAAAGGAGGTAAGACTGCATGATGTGTGGAGAAGGAATGAGTATTGGGAAAGGAGGTAAAATAGAGTGAAATAAGAATCCCTAAAGAAAGCCCAAAGCGGCAAAATGTTGCAGGCTCGGCCTGATTGGGCCTGTTCATGGATGGTACTGTCAAGTGCAAACTACCGTCCACGCCCCCTAGCACCGGCCCAAGCAGAACTCAACATTTAACATGAACTAGTAAAAATTAGAATTTTGAAACATCTACAGATGTGTTCATATGGCAGTTATCATGGAACCTTCAATGTGACATGAAAAGCGGCATATGGTCCCCAAGTAAAAAAATGTGTTTGCCCTAAACAAGAAAACAATGGGTGGAACTAAATAAACTGGAATTTTGAAAGGGGATCCGAGGTTATGAAGCCTGCATATCACAGATATAATGTCAAAAGACAAATTTAAAAAGCAGGCCTCATATCCTAAGGGTGATTCAACAGTATTCAAGTGGGGAATACTGGAACCACCCAACAAGAAAGATGCCAAATAGGTAGAACTAAAATACCACAAGCACAACAATAATGTTGTGCTGAACGATCTTTAAGGATCGGAAATATAACATCCCTGATTGAATGTACGGGGTGACTTTTTACAGCCTCCACACGGCACAAACAACGCTGATGTGGCAATAAAATAGAGTGAAGTAAGAATCCCTAAAGAAAGCCCAACGCGGTAAAATGTGTGGAGAAGGAATGAGTATTGAGAAAGGAGGTAAGACAGCATGATGTGTGGAGGAGGTAGAGTATTGAGAAAGGAGGTAAGACAGAATGATGTTTGGAGAAGGAAGGAGTATTGAGTAAGAAGGTAAGACAGCATGTGTGGAGGAGGAAGGAGTATTGAGAAAGGAGGTAAGACAACATGATGTGAGGAGAAGGAAAGGGCATTGAGAAAGGAGGTAAGACAGCATGTGTGGAGAAGGAAGGTGTCTTGAGAAGAGAGGTAAGACAGCATAATGTGTGGAGAAGGAAAGAGCATTGTGTGATTGAGAAAGGAGGTAAGACAGCATGATGTGAGGAGAAGGAAGGAGTATAGAGAAAGGAGGTAAGACAGCATGATGTGTGGAGAAGGAAGGAGTATTGAGAAAGGAGGTAAGACAGCATGATGTGTGGAGAAGGAAGGAGTATTGAGAAAGGAGGTAAGACAGCATGATGTGAGGAGAAGGAAAGGGCATTGAGAAAGGAGGTAAGACAGCATGATGTGAGGAGAAGGAAAGGGCATTGAGAAAGGAGGTAAGACAGCATGATGTGAGGAGAAGGAATGAGTATTGAGAAAGGAGGTAAGACAGCATGATGTGAGGAGAAGGAAAGAGTATTGAGAAAGGAGGTACGACAGCATAATGTGTGGAGAAGACAGGAGTTCATTATTTTTTGATTGTGTCAAAAGGAGCAGTTTGATTATTTATATTAGAACATGGAAATTAGATACTTTTATGTCTGGAGGAGGGAGATGATGTTTATTTGTGTAAGGGAGATTTATGCTGTGTCAAAATTTTCAAAATACAAAAAATGAGCTACCAACACTATACTGCCATGCCAGACTGCATGAATCTTTAGGCTTGCCTAGGTCTATACTTGTTACAGTCAGCTCATGCAGTTCAAGCATGTTACAGGAAGAAGAATATAGTTTTAAGAAACAATTGCAATATGATTATTCTAAAATGTTAAATTGCATATTGCAATGCAAAGGCAAATCAATAAGTAACTGAATTAATATATTTGCAGGGTTTTACATGGTACCATCAATGTAAAGGTGATATGGCAAATGTCCAACTTTGGTTTATGCAGAATATATTTTAGTTCGATTGTGTAGGAAGCTATAAGCTTATAGACACACTTTCGAATTCGTTCCTGGAACCAACCAGTACTGAGCAATGAGTGTAAAGTTTCTTGCTCAAGGAAACAATAATTTGCCCCTGATGGGGTTTGAACCCATGAGGCTAGCGATCATTAGATTACTAGTCCAACTTTACTGGAGGAAGATCTCAGGTGCCTTTCTATGCATGATTTCAGGCAGGGACAGGATATTGTTGAATTGATAAGTTTTGGTAATTGTATAGTCTTATGTTTTCTCAGGGATAAACTACATTCATGAAATTGTGTCTACTAAGTTCACATAGTGTGATTATTAACATATAAATGTTCTTACATATTAATCAACTTGAGACTATTTTATTACAGGAATGGACTATTTCTACACCTAAACATCTCCAGATGTATAAAGCCTTTGGTTGGGAGCCACCTGCTTATGCCCATTTACCTTTAATAGTTAACAGGTAAATGAACCAGAAGGGTAATGCTTGACTGCAGTTCTAATTTTCTCCCAAGACTTGAAGTGAATATGGGGATACAAGTACTTATATATAACACAGAGATATCCCATATTTTTCATTAGTCTTCATTTATAGCACCAGTGAATAAGTAAACATGGTTATTTATTTTTAAGTGCCTCTAAGACAACCTTATGCACATTTTGCATATTCAGTCTCTTTGAAATTAAGTTACAAATATGAACTAATCATCAGTGTGTCACAGAAAACTAAAATCCCTGCTTTCTGAATCAACATACATGTAAGCTTTACAAGATGTAGAGGGTTATTAGTTATATAAAGTAGTTGATTAAAGTATCTAAAAGAAAGACATCAAGGTTCATGTGGAATATCAGTTATTATATGCAGAACAATATTTTTCAGAGTTGATACATGTATAAGATCTACTTCTTTAATGATTTAGTACAATTCAATCATTCCTTAACTCTGTGAGTAATATCCCCTCCTCAGTTACAATTGCTCTAGCTGGGTTTGAGGTTTTAAATTTTTTTACTAAGCTCTAACTCAAATCTCAGGTATTTGATTGGTTCAGTAACTTGCACAGAATTTTGATTGACCAATGAAAATACTGAGTTCAGAGGAATCTTAATATCCCAAGGCAAGTACTTTTAGTACTTTGATTATGCTTCAATTTTTGACTTGAAGATTTGTTATAGTTACAAAAGTTTTGTTTTGTTTACAGTGATGGAACAAAGCTGTCTAAAAGACAAGGAGATATTACTGTTGAATATTTTAGGGTGAGTTGAAATATTAAAACATTCACTGCTGTTTATAAGTTTTTGTCAAGCTTAGTTTACAATACTTTGATAATTAATAATTTTTCTATAAATAGATTTGTATCCCTGAACAACCCATTTTCGGCCACTTAATGGTTCTAATAAAAGGAAGGCATATATATAAGCTGAAATAATTCATAAAGATATTTTTAGTAAATTATGTAAAAGAAGATAAAAGTGAAATTTAATGAGCTTGATTTTCCCTAGACTGTTTTATAAAAATCCATTTAAAGAAATATGGATGAAAATATTTTTGAGACATGATAGAAATTTTTTTGGTTGTGTGATTAAGAATTAGTATTTTATTGTATTATATTCCATTGTTTTAATGGAATATTTTTTTAATCTTTTTTTTGCAGGAACAAAATTATGATCCAAATGCAATATTAAACTATTTATCAACAGTAAGTGGGGCTTTTAAAGATAGTACAGAGGGTAAAACTCTAGGGGAGATGATCAGTATGGTAAGAAAGTATGTCGTTTTCAACATGTTTATCTCCTTACTAACCATGCATCTACATGTTTCATTATCGAAAAATAAAATTATGGTCCACCATAGGCCAAGAATTATTATGGACAGCCTAGTTAAATCAGACCTCTTAAATAATATGTATTTACAAGGAAGCTACCTGTGCAAACAGAACTGCATTTTATGTTTGTTTGTGTCAGTTTTAAAATATTTCACTAGCACTGTTACTCATAAAACGTTTAAAATTAAGGGATATCAGGACTGTGAAATGGTGAGCATCATATACTTAATAACATATACTAAATGCGATTAAAAATATGTTGGACAAACTGGGAATGCATTTAGGGAACCTTTTTTTACATTCATCTAGTTGACATATGATAAAACAAAAAAAAACAAAAAACGTAAAGCCAATTTCCCGCCATTTTTGCATGACGGGACATGATGTTAGTAATATTGACGTAAAAATAATCCATCAAACAGAAAGAAATTATATACAATATGTGACGACTTTAAACGACACTCTAAAATCATAGACAGATTTGAAGAGAAAATCTTCAACAAAATTGAGGAGAGAAGACCTCAAAACCAACCTTCCACTACATTCAGCAACATCTAAACAATACTAATGAAACTAAAATTCAGGATAGTGATGGGGATAAATGGGAAGTCCTATTCTTAAAGAAGTCAATACCATACCTTCTAAGAAAGAAATACCACTTCCAAATGATATCAAGTGCAGAAAGAATATTGACACTCTGGTTTTCAATATACCACCGCCATTTTCACCATTAACTGATTCTCCAAGAAGTCCTACTCAATCTTTAAGCTCAAATCCTACATTTGGATGTATTCATAAACATGATTTAGAATAATTTTCTAATTAATTTGTAAAAAAGGAAATGTATGAAAGATAATCAGAGATTATAAGCATGTTTATTATGTTTATTTCAGTATTTAATGTACATAAGATATGAAGTTATATGTAAGATTTTTATAATTTTATTTTTTTATTTTAATATTTTTACAGTTTTCATTGGACAATGTTACAAGCCACCCTGCCAGACTTCAACCTGAAAAGTTAAAACCCCTTAACGGACATCATTTACGCAGACAATTCCATGGTGATCAGAAACAACAAGTTGTAAATAAAACACAAGAAATGGTTCAAAAACATTATATGGAAAGGTTGGTCAAATTATATTTTAGTTTTATTATATACTTTAAAATGAAATATTGAGAAATATTTATGAAATAAAATCTGTAATTTCATTTTCCATATTTAACACTATTAAAAATTCATTTTTCACTGCAATGAAACATATTTTTCACTGGTGTCCTGCCGGACAACTTTTTTCTATACTTAGCCAATATACAATATTTAAGGGAAAGTCTTTCAAATTGTATTGTCAAAAAAAGAGAAAAATGTATATAATACACAGAAAATTAAAAATTTTTTTTCTATTAATATAAGATTTATTTTCATCTTGTGGTATGAAAATTATAACATTTCTCTCATGAAATATTTATTTTCATACCACTCGATGAAAATAAATCCTGTATTTATAGAAAAAAACTTGAATATCCTGTATGTCTTTGAAAACACTAACAGCAATTATTAATTTTCTTCAGCAGCCAGTATATGAGGGCCAGACTAGCATCCCCCAAGCCAGACCTAACTTCTATTCTGTTGATTGTATCATTTTGAATATCCTTAGATAAACAATAGAGAATTTAAATTATATGTAAGATGTTACCATTAAAGGCACATTATGCCTCAGACACAAATAGAATTTTACTTCTTTAGAAAAGGCTAACATGAATTTTAGCATGTTTAAATTTTGGTTTTAGAGAATGTCAGATGCTTTTTACTTGAACAAAATTAATTAGTTATAAATGTGAAATAATTTTTCATTAAAGTAGCAAAAAGTAAACAAAGTAGTATTTTCCATACTAAAAACTGAACGTATTGCCCAAAAGTAACAAATGAAAATGATGCTTCATGTATTTTGCCAAGAAGTAAATTTTGGATACTATCAAAGTACACCAATATTAAAAAGTTTTTGAGAAAAAAAAAAAATGATTTTTTTGAGGCATAATGTGCCTTTAAATGCAGAAGGTTACTGGTTGGGGACCACCAAATCCGGACAACCACCAAACCCGGATCTATCTGTCACTTTATTATCAACAATAAATGCATGTTTCTTCTACAATTAAGTAATTAATCTTTAAGAAAATGTTCAACAAGTGTCTGTTTGATCGTCCCTGACTAGTAGAGATTAAATGTGAAATGATTTCTATTTCAGAGTAGCAAATAGCCATGTTTTAGACTTACGTTATATAGAGCATATACTTACATGGGCTTTGGTAAGTCTAACTTTCGAAAAGTCCTTAAATTTTTATTTAACAATGACTAATGTAGTGAGTAATGTCAAATAAAGTGATAATGATATGTACAAACCTGTGCTATAGATACCTTTCCAGAGTAATTGAGTTTTGAGATTTTGCTGCATTTGTTTTACACAAATTTCTTTTTAATGAACAAATACACTTGTATGACCTTTAAATAAAAGGCTACAATTTATTTTGCCATTTACATAGTTCAGTGTGATCCTTTTTTTAATTTGGCCATTTGAAAAATAGAGGGACTTTCAACTCACCTTGCAACATCCTCAAGCCTAGTCCGCTAATATTAAATAAAAGTTACTGAGCTTGAAAAGGGGCTGTCTGAAACAACACAAATATGTATTTATGTATATTGAAAATGACAGCATTAATACATACCAGAGACATGCTGTCAAATAGTAATAATCTGCATAGGATAAATAATGTCCCTATGAACTTAAGCCCATTTAGCAGTCCGCTTATCACCTAACCTCTCTGTTGTGTATTGTTTAGGAAAGAGATATCAATTCTGAGTGCATTGTTATAGAATATTGCACGGTTTGAGTTCAAATGCGTAGTAATATAATCACGGAGGCCGACAGGCCTGAGTGATTAATTACAAAGCATTTGAACGAAAAACGTGCATTATTATACAATAATGCACGAAAAATTAATATCTATTTCCATTCTAACACGTCAAGAAAAAATAAATTATTATTATAAAGTTGGACTTTATGTTTGGTGGTTAAATATGTTTTCGCCTCAGAGTTTCCAATAGAAACGTTCTTTAAAGGCCATTCCAGTGGATTGAAAAAACTGTCGTTAAATCTACCGTGTGTAGAACATTTTGAGAATAACGAATTTTGAAAACGTTGATAAAACTATGTTTGTTTATTTTATTTCATTATTTTATTAAAAGTGAAATAAATGTAAAACTTAATTCGTTTTCGACATTAAAATAGCGTTCTTGATTTAATTGTTTTGCACATGCTTTTTGGCGCTACATTGTGACGTCATGTAAACAACACTTTAAACGTCTGTACAGCGTTAACGACTGAATTAAAAATATTGGTGTTCGGATTCATTTTCTTAGTTAGACCATTTTCTTTCATTCTAGATAGTTTTCGCAACAAAATTCGACAAAAAATTATTTTTATTTATCAGATTGTTCAAACAAAATGGAGCCCTCAATGTGAAAATACACAGGGAGATAATAAGAACGGCGAGTGCATTGTTGTAGAATAATGCACGCTAACGGCCTTCTTTGTTTATATAGAAAAAATTCCGATAGTGTTAGAATTATTATTAGACTTTAATTTCCTTAGTACATGTATCCATAAGGTCAGTTTGAAATAGAAAACTACCTCTGTACCTCATGTATGTAAATAAGGAGAGTGTTACTATTTCATCACCTTAGTGCAATAGCTGGTAAACTCCTACATAATTTAAATTTAAAAGGACTTAACCCATTACTGCACTCAGGTGACAATTTGTTGAATTGTTTTAGGTTAATGAATCTGTTCATGAAGCATGTTTCAATGAAGCTTTCATTATATTTTGAAGTTAGTTCCCTTGATTTGGTGCATTCTGACATTTAGATATTGTTTAAACACAAATCAAGGAGTTGATTTTGGTATTTGAAAAGTACCAAAAATACAACAGTTTCTTCCAGATACTATATTCACAGAAATAACAGATGTTGTACATTCATAGAATAACTGTTTATTTGTCACCTTTACATTTCAGGTTTCAAGAATATCACATTTGGAGGACTTGCTCTCAAATTCTCTAAACTTTATCTGGGTATTTCCAGACCAAGAGAAAGTTAAAAATGCACTTTTTAAGGACAAAAACAGTGAAACTATGATTAAAGGGACCATCGACAAATTAAACATTGTGCATACATTTAAGGAAGCACCACTAAAAGAGACTTTAATGTGTTTCTGCAAGGAACAAAGTTTTAAAACTAAACATTACATGACTGCATTGAGAAATTGCCTCAGTGAACAAAAGGTAAAGTATGATTGATATTCATATCATATACATGTAGTACATGTATTATTGATACAGGTGTCTGATGGGATATACCTGAGAATATAGCCTGAATGAAATAATTATGACCTAAAAAGCTAGCTGAGGGTTATGTATATGTCAGCAGGGCTTTACTTCCCCAAAATTCCAGTCAGCAACTTGTATACATTGTAATAAACATATGAGCCGTGTCATGACAAAACCAATATAATGGGTTTGCGACCAGCATGGATCCAGACCAGCCTGTGCATCCACGCAGTCTGATCAGGACCCATGCTGTTCGCTTATCAACTCTATTACAAATAGAGAAATTGATAGCGTACAGCATGGATCCTGATCAGACTGCGCGGTTGCGCAGGCTTGTCTGGATCCATGCTGGTCGCAAACGCACTATGTTGGTATTGTCATGACGCGGCTCATATGATATTGCAATTCCATATTGATGTGAAGTTGAGAAAAACAACAACTTTTGACAGTTTACATTGATGGACAAGAAAAAGATGCATATAAAGAAGATCACATCAGAATACTATGGCTACACAAATGCTGGGCAAACAAACGTTTTTCAAGTATATAGTCATCATTGCAGTGTAACTTTGACCTATTTGAGTGTTACAATACTTATTAACTAAGGGGAGCGGTGGCCTAGTGGTTAAGGTGTCTGCCTCTCAACCCAGAGATCATGGGTTTGAGCCCTACTCGGGTCACGACCATGTTTCTCCATATGACACCAGTACTGGTTGGTTCCAGGAAGCGGACTCGAAAGTTAATATAAGTTGCAAGAACTTGTTTCGCAATCGAGCTTAAATAAATATGTTTAAACCAATTAACTATGCCCTTTAAAGTATAGTTTGGAAACATTGAATACATATTTATGACTACACACGTATTGTAGACAAAACTTCATTATTCTGCCATGAATTTTTGTCATAGTGCTGTTCTAACTTAGCTTTAAATTTTTGAGGACCTATACTTATTCCACTATCATATAAAATTGGTGTTTTAATGCACACTATTCAGTTGGCTAACAGATCATTAGCAGTTCAAAAAAAGGCACATGTACATGCCTGAACGAATTCAGTAAAGCTTTAGAAAAAGTCACCGTTTGATCTTTACAGTGCATGTGCAACTAAAAGACCCAACCAAATAAAAATGATGGACAGCCTATGTTTATTGCTATGTTTGGTTTTCAGTGACAGACTGAATATAGTTGCTGATATATCATTTGCTTCTCACATTCTGGCTGTATGTACAAATACCATTGGGTACATTAATGTGAGTAAGCTATCCTGCTAGATAATGACATGTCAGTGGTTCTACCCAAGTCCTTGTTCACACCTGAAATAATGTGTGATAAGCAAATGGATAAAACCTTTACAAGTGGAGATATAAATTCTTAAAAAAGAAAACTGTTAAAGTGTCGGTGTGACATTATTTTTGTAAAATAATTGTATTGTACTTAACACGTATTATTTCCTGGTTAGATAGAATAGTTTGCTACTAGTTAATTGCTTTATTGGAGATTATTCATTTTATAGTACTATTATTGTTATATTATTTTAGATCATTGTATTTAAAAGCACAACTTCTGTTAGTTATTTGATATCATTTATAAATATGATGTGGGGCATCAGTGACTGAATGGTTAAGGTCATTGACTATAAACCACTTGCCCCTCATAACTGTGGGTTTGAATTCCCGCCAGGAACTTTGAAGTGTCCAGCTTGAGCTAGCTTACAAAATGTCCATGGTTCTTCACAGGTGTCCCTCCATGCCTGAAATGACACACAGAGGATACCTAAGGTCTTCCTCCACAAGTTAAGCTTGAAAGCCACCATATGACCATTACAGTGTTGGTGCGACGTAAAACCCAAACAAACAAAAATATAATAAATTTTACATGTATATAAACAAAAATTATAATAATCAAATCTATCTTTATTTATTCTTTTTTTTTTTTAAATGTTTTAATAAAATCATATAAGCTAAAACTTTCTTCATTGTAGTTGCACCATATTTCATGTTTAATTTGTTATAAAGGGGTTTCCCATATATTGATAATATTCTGAAAAATTTTCTTCTTTGTTTTTGTAGGTAGGTCCACCTGTTGCTGAAATGATGGAGATGCTGGGAAAACAAGAGACATTAAAACGTTTACAAAGTGCATGTGATTCTCTGAACACTGGACAGACGTAAAAATAAACAATAAAGAGGATAAATGTAACAGAAATTATCATGACATTTACATAATGAATTGAATGATAAAAGACTGCAGATTTTTATGTTGTTAGTAGTTCTGGTTGAAAACATTACCAAACACAAACATGTTGAAGAATTAATTTTCACTCTATTGCAAAACTATAGTTTTAATAAAGTTGCATTGTTGTTTTAATTGTTAATGTTATTTTATTTCATTCTTGTTAAAAATTAAAATTGATTAAGATTGAAGAAAGAAGGACAGATACATGTATACACTCATGGGTGTAAGTTTTCAGGAGTATACCTGAAGTTCAGGACTTTTAGACTCGTTAAAACAATACTTTTCTTTTGAAAACTACAGAAAAATTGCTAAATTCAGGATTTTCAGGACTTCTAAAATTCCCATCTTTCACCCATGCACTCTGTGAGCAAAGATTGAATGAGACTGGTTAATTACCAAAGTAACAGATTGTAAAGAACTACTGAAAGCAGATATATTCTATGATGAAAACTCCTTTTATTATAAAAGACGATGGTCAGATGATAAAAATGATAAATTTGTATTTCTAGCCTAACTTTATTGCTAATTATAAAACTGCATAAATGCCAATTGAGCTCACTATAAATCTGTGGGTATGCATTTTCACTTACCAGTAATCCAGGCTAAATGTTGTAGATGGCCTTTTCCTGCTTTGAATAAAAGTCTGCATATTGAGTGCAAAGGAATTTTGTTATGAAATGCCTAAAATACAGCAAGAAATAGTATGAGGTCTTGTCAGAGATACATCCAGGCTAGTTTATATAGAGGATATTGAATGAGTGTAGGTTTAATACTAAATTTATTGAACGAGTTGAATAAAACAATATTATGCTCGCCAGAGGCTCGCATAATATGATTTTATTCAACTCGTTCAATAAATTTAGTATTGAATCTACACGAATATAATATTCTATTTATCACATATATAAAATAAAAACGATAAACTGTTAACAAAAGTCATTTTTCTTTGACGAGCCTATAGTGTAACGGTAATATTAGCGCGCTTTAACGCTATGTTTATAGTGCAAATGACGTGCCTTCAAAGTGTTATTACACTAGTGTAATATTGTCTAGTGTAATATCGTTTTTATTAAATGGCTTTATTACACTCCTGCGCCGCGGTTTATGTGATAAACAGAATTTATTATAGTTTGTGTTGGAAGCCATAAGCAACACATGGATCTGTTCCTGGAATCCACAAGTACTTGGCAATGAGCTACAAGGTCCTTGCTCAAGGAAATAATTGCTTGCCTTTGGTGGGGATTGAACCCCTGCAACCATCAACTTCAAGGTCCCTAAACCCAAGGTCAAGGTCACAATAGGTCAAGTAAAAAAAGTTCATGTTCTATGCCTGCTCTATAACTTTAATCTAATGAATGTTTTTTCAAAATTACCTGTCACAAAATGAAATGACCACCACCACAAACAACAAGGGTACCTCTCCAAGGTCAAAGGTCATATAGAAAAAGTCCACATTTTTAATCTGCTCCATAACATTAAAACTGCTTAAATTCTTGAATTATTTGGCAGTAAATGATCACCATGGTGACGCTATTTCAAATTTGCAGGAGCAACATTTCTGTCATGACTCCCAAGGTCAAGGTCGCACAAATATAAAAAGTTTGCATTTTGTTTTCTCTCATAAATTTTTAACTACTGAAAAGTTTTCAAAATTACTTATGACAAATGATTGACATTATGAGATAATGTGCAGAGTTGCTTCTTCCATTTAAGGTCATGTTCATACTTAAAGGTCAAATGCTTGAATTGCACTATTGTTTTGATATAACTTGACACAAAAAATCACAATGATGACATGATGTGCAGAAGACAACAACCAGGTCATTAACCTAAAGTCACAGTTACAGGTGAGATGTTAAAAATGTCTACTCTGTTCATTCTTAAGTATTGAAAGGGTTTTGATATTGTTTAGCAAAGGTGATCACCACTGTAATACAATTGGCAGAATGCAACTTCCAGGTTATTTTTCCAAAAACCAAGGTTTAATTAGAGGCTGGACCAAATAATTATCACAATGACACTATATGCTTACAATGTGCATATAGTGCAACAGTGTTTGTTTCAACAACATTTAGTATAAAACCTTCTATATTAAGTATCTTGTTTGAACCTTGGATGGTGTTTAAGATCATTGAACTTTAGAACTGTTATTAAACTAGATTATCATCCCCTATGCACTAACATAAAGCTGCCCTTAATTGCATTTTAATAAAACATTCTCTAAAAAGTTCCAATTAGTTAAAAAGGTAGTGTTTGCATAAGCATCATGGTAATGGTGTCACAATTACTCTATTATGTCACTAAAATAGATTAAACTTGGACAAGGATATTCAGGCTGGCGATTTAGGGTCATCATGACCCCCTTGGTTTAAATTTTGTTTTAACCAGTTCAGAATATCCACCAGTGTCCTTTAATCACCCTATGATTTGATGATCCAAAGTTTTTTTCACGCATGATTAATCTTCTATATTATGAATGTACTGTTTGACCTTATGCTCTATTTTGTTCAACTGCTCATTTTGTGTACTTAGATGTTAGTATTTATAAATATATAGATTATGTAATGAAAGCTGAAGGCTTGTTTAAATCATGATTGAATATATTTAAATTCTCTTTCTGGAACTAAGCAGTATTGGTGTAGTTAGAAACCCAAATAGTTTTCTTCTAACCTACAACCCCTGGTAAAAAAGACAATTAACCTGACAACTACACTAGTTACAGTTCGAAATAAAAGAAGCAGATAATACCAACAAGATAATAGCTAATATATAACTCACAAGATAATTTTATATATTTATCTAATGTTCACAACTCATTTTTAAATGGTGATGTCCCAGTTTTTAAATTAATAATAAAACCAGACATACTGGTATACTTTTTCTTCCGTATCAAATACTTATAGTTCTCTCCCTAATCGTTTGAATTACAATTTAGGTAAATTGTTCATACCATTTAAAACCTAATATTTTTGTTAAGCAGAATATTTCATCTTAATTCTGTAAAATCTAAATGCGCGGCATTCGTCTTTTTGGTAGTTGTAATTCTTTTCGTACGTTTTTAATACTTTTGTTAGTTTTATATATTTCTTGTAATTGAATAATTGTCAACGTAACCCCTGACCTCCGACCTGGATATTCACACCCACCTGTCAAACCACCGATAAACACTTTTAGATGATAAAATTAAAATTGTTCGAATCAAAACAAAATATTATCAAGCAACGACATAAGATACACGTTTAAGAAACATTTTATTGACTCAAGAAACATTATATCTGAAACAGTTACCTGCAATTATCACCTGTCACAGGTAATCGCGATTTGACAGGTTCATTAGGTCACCGGAAGCTGAGAGATGTTCCTGTTTGAATTCCATAGAGGAAAGTAAACAGACGGAATCAAGTAACAAAATTGTTGGAATTAGGAAGGATTTTATGCTCGGGTGTTTTCAGGTAAGCTGTCAGGTGTGTTTTTTATTGTTAATTCATATTTGAGAACTGATGACATTTGCTTGACAGATCATACTGTTAAGAAAAGTTTGTTTGAATTATTCTGTTATTTGTAAAAGTAGATTTTGACTGTTTCAGTTCTAAGGCCATTTATAGTTTCTTTGTCATCATACCTGTGCATGATGACGTGATGTCTGTAGCTGTAAATAATCTAGGAAATAAGATCATGTTAAGGACAGTTTCGAATTGTTGACAATTAAATTTAATAATGGCGATCTCTTGGATAATAGACCCCTCTGTGAATTTGAGGAGTAAAACTTGTATATATATATACAAAAACTGAAAGAAAATGGAATGAACCTTATGTATACTCCTGGTTTATACCCTGGGGTCTGTTACAGGATATAGCCATAATAATCACAGCCTCATATCAAGGCGATGCTTAATTATTAGGGGTCTTGAGGGGTTAAGTGTCTTCATAATTTGAGGGATGAAGTGTCTTGTTCTCACGTATTCTATGTGTATACAGAAATAACAGAATCATTATATTTTTTCACTGGTAAACCTTTAATTTGCTGAATTTATGTAATAGATTTGTCATTCTTTGATTTGGATCAGTCTGTATGAAAATTAAGAAATTTCAATATCAATATACCATAATTTAGCTACATTTTGTATCATAGTTTGGGGACCTTTCTGTTGAAAATGTGTCAGACTCGATCAGCTATCAGACCAATATAATTTGAAATCTTCACTTACGGTATGCCATAACGCCCATTCTCAATAAAATAAAGCATTTGAGATTGAAAAATATTAAAAATTTGATGTTGTCATTGTGTCATTTTTTATCGCTGAAGTAAAAGTTTAGGGTATTTTGCAAGTTTGCCAGAAATATTTTGAACAAGAAACTATGATATAACAGGATGGCATTTATTTCGGTAATGACACTGTATTTCTTCGGTAACGTAGATTTCAGGTCTAATAATGTAACATATTGGCTGCATATTAATAACAAATGTCTGTAAAATATATCAAAATCTGTAAATTCTCTATCTAGAGGGACTTTCTAACCCAGGAAAATTCAAAGAAGTTGGGTACCTTGCTAATTTTCAGTAAATGTTTTCAAAGTTAAATATTCGTAGAAAGCAAAAATAGTCAATTTTGAAAATGATTATTTTATGTCTTCATTCAAAGGATATATATCATATATAATATATGAGAGGTCGAATGCATACACAAATTTTGTATTAGCATTTTTTTTCTCAAAATATTCAACTTTCCACTTTCTTAATATTTGGAAAATTTAGTACTAAACAGTTCGATATTTATCCCCATATAGGATGTCACGTATGTTTCATTTTATTCAAATGCAAGTAAAGGTTGAGAAAACAATTTCATTTTTTGTAAAATAATTTATATTCATGGATATTATTTTAACATTATTATATATAGAATGAAATACGGCCAGTAAGCTCTTTGCAGAAACGAAATAATTGTTGCTGTGAACATCAATATCTTGTAATATATTTTTAACATTTCTGCTGGTACATCAACATATTATTAACCTATCTTTCCTTTGTAAAAACAATTTTGTGTCTTCTTACATCTAATACAAGGTAACCGTTACTAACAGGCATGCTAATCCCAACTTTATCTTTAATTTTCAAAAATTGTTGAATTGTAAGTTGGAGTAACGTATGTTTCACACTCGCTTATTTATGAACTTTATCACGGAATTTAAACTTACATGTAAAATCGACTTTTTTATTTAGGAATCAAATGCACATCATTCTATTGTCATAAAAATGCGATTTTATGTTTTGATATATGCATGTGTAAACAATATAAAGTCTGTTTGATAAAAGTAACGTTTGTTTCACTGTGGTTACTTAAACAAGTAAAAACACGACCAAAGTTAACAAAATTTACTTACTAATGTCAAATAGAACTTAATGTTGATGTTATACGTACTTTCTGACTTCAATTTCCCTTTTGATAAACTTACTTTAAAAAGTTGATAACGTATGTTTCTG